AATATGCATGCTTTCAATTTCTCCAGCTCTGTCACTATTGTTACTGTATATGGTGCACCTCAATTATTCTACTGTTTTTACTTCAAATCTAATCACTGCAATCCCTAGCAACTGCAAAATTCTAGGAGTCTAAAATAAAAGCAAGACAAATCACGGGACTAGAATTCGTAGGGCAAAAGATCGATCTCTCAATGCCTTTTCCTGGGATCTAAAATATTAGGTTGTCTGAACTGAACCAGATGAAATTCTTGTGAATTCACAACTGGAATCAGTAAATATACCACTGTGAACAGGATATAATCTTTGATGAAGGCGAATTTTAAATTTAGAGTAGTGGCATCGCTAAATTTTACCTCACTGAAAAGGAACTATAAAATTTCCTTTGATATCTGAACCTGATAAGTGAATAAAAGAATCAACACAGAAAAAATAGCATTCGCAAAAAAATTCCATAATAAGAATAATGCAGATACTAGATACTAGGAATCTACAATCCTCGATCCACAGTAACTTTTTGCAGATTTGGACATACCGATCAATCGGATCCATGTTTGGCAGCCCGTTCAGGTCATACAGAGGGGTATTTGGTTGCGGTGGCAGACCGTAGAGGAATTCTCGCAGGCTTCGGAATATTTCCGATCCCTGTGAGAACGATTTTCGTAAGAACAGATCCGGGAGGGGGAAATAAATGTGAACTGGTCTGGTTTATTCCGGGCAACTTTAGTCGAAATGTGAACTGTATATCGAGTTATCATGAGTCTGAAATGTTTTTAATGCAATACTTTGGCCTTGGTCTATTTTATGAAGCAGTGAGTGTTACATGGTAATAAGACTTGCATTATGCTCTCCACTGTGTCTTTACCTCTGCAAATTCTTCAGAGGAGAATTTGAATGTTTCAGCGTTTGCAATTTGACTACTATGAATATTTAAATAGTCTGATTATAAATGACAAACACGTTGATTTTTCTGCACTGAATATGTATTGCCAAATGACAGATTACTAAAGCTTACCGCTTATTTGGTAACTTCTTATTACTGTTCGGTTTTTCTGTGTTTATAACTGTAAACTTCTGTTTTGGTTTGACTGCATCACAAATTTACACGTCATTCTGTACCGCCACGTTTGAAATGTTTATGTACGCTGGCGTCAAGTAACCTAGTCGTAAGTCTGCTTGAATTTATCGTTTATTGATTGATTACCTTTTACTGTAGAACCACGGTTTACGTAGAAATAAACTGCCCAGCCCGCACTGCGTTTTCTGTGTCCGCCCAAGCTATGCGTGCGACTAGACTTGAAAAGTCGCAGTTTACCGCCGATGCCACCCATTCGTTTCTACAACCTCAAATAAACAATGAAACTTTATAGCTCATTCAACCCTTCACGAGGAATAAAAGAGTGCAACATTTTAGGCTATTTCAAATAGAATGCAGCACGCGCAAATGAGATGGGTACATCACGATCTGTTCATTGTGTTCAAAGTAGATTGGTGATGTCTGAATATCGTAATAATATGCTACCGAGAGGTCTAATGAGTTCATAGTTATAGATTTACTGTGATTCTATGATGGCTCGTGTTGCTACCCCCATTCTTTCATTTTATGATGTATCGCACGATTCAATATCTTGTAAAATACTGCTGAGTAGAAAATTCAACCTGGTTCCATTTGTATTTAGGTCCGGTAAAACGGGTCAAATGACAAGACATGATCCCAACTATCGACCACCCTCCCCATCGCGTCGAGACACCCCGGATTCATTGAGGCCTTTGACGAAAGTTATGTAACGGGTTTGTTCTAACCATCCGCTGGTCGTAAAACGCAAGTCACAGGTCTCAGCTTTTGCAGGAAAGGCTTAACAGTTGGTGACAAAGAGCGGTAAGTCTAGCTGAACATCATGTCAGAGTTCCCGAAAAACATGCGAAGAATTTAAGGATCTCAACCGCTAAAGCGAAAAATGGTCGCTTTAACTATGAAAAAGTGCAATGTTTACACCATAACAGGCTGATTCAGAAACGATCCAATAAATTCGGATGGAAGCGACTGGCAACGATGAAGTTAGAAACTAATGTAAAAGTGCTTGTGGCTTCAAATCCACAGGTTTCAAGTCACGAATCAGCTGAATGTTCTCTTAGTTACTCATCCATACAACTCGTACTGCTTCGTCTTTCTTTTCACCCGCATTATTTGGTTTTTGGGGTTGTGATGAAAGATCCAGGTTGACTAAGCCAGACGGAATTTTCTGAGTGGTTTAAGTATATTTAGACAGTGAATGTTTAAGTAAACTTTACTAAGAAAACCATCATTGGCTGAAGAGGCAATTTGGTCTAAGGATGCCGGTGTGGTGATATAAACAGTTGTGACGCGTTCAGCCAGACCTCTATGAAGTCTATTTTGTATAAATGATGTCCGGCTTATTTCTCATGACCAACCGGACTCCAGAACAAACGCTTGACTTTTTTCAGTCAGATGCACACATGATTCAGGTGTGACGGAAACGGTTTCGAGAGTTGCATTTGTACTTTGCCACTGGACCCAGTTTTAACATGGTAGGGGGTGCAAATTATCCTTCTTCTAAATCGTACTCATAAGATATACATTATTTATCGTCAGACAAGCGAAAAACATCCGTTGAATTTTGGATGAGTGTTATGTGATACACACCACTAGAAAATTACTTCTTGAGACAAACATGAAGAGACAGAGTATAAATAAAGCTAGCTTCCATGATTCATACCAAAACAGGCTTTTTTGTACCTCATTTGATACCTTACCGAGGAAAACAAGTCTATTCCGCTAGACGGTATAACAGTTACATGCATACGTACAACAGAGTCGAATGATCACACCTCAACAAGTGAGTGTGACTGACAGTAGTTTTTGCACACAAACACGTACACACAGACCGAGCTTCCGCCTTCTAATTGTAACGGATTCTGTGAATCTGAAAAGTTGATAATTGGTCTCAGTACCTGAGCCCAAATCGGTCTGTTGGCTCCGGACCATGACTCGTTATCAACAAACGTCAAGCGATGGGTGACGCAGATCGGCTGTTTTCGGTATTATTGGGTAATAGTGGTGGTTGCTAATTGTGTAATGTGATAGAGCGTACTCATGTTAGTGGTGTATGTGGAGTACGCGGTTTGAAGGGTCAGATTTAAAAAATGGCTTTTAATCTTGTGACCTGGCCACACTGCGTCTAACCCGAAATCGGACGCGTTCCAGCAACTGCCTCCGTACTGCCAATGCAAAATGCTCGCATCTGTATTCCAAATGATATAACACGTGTGATTTGGCGATCGGGGACAAAGGTTGCTTTATGGGTAGAAAGGGGATGCGTGTTGTGTACAGGACGATTGGCTTGGCAGTATTTCACCACTTCCTTCAATCGACTAGACTGCCATCTTAGCTTTTGAAGGGGAGGCAAATGTGAACCTTTTTCTTAGAGAATGTTATATACTACTAGTCTCTTTTCCTATGTCCAACTGAACTTTCTAATAATAATGCTGTGCAATAACAGATTCCAGTATAAGTTCATTTGTAAGTTGTCATCGTTTCAGGGGAAACGTGCTCGATGCAATGGCAGTCAGGAGACATGACCCACTATCTTCCATTTCCCTCCACGAGAATCAAGAAGGACATCAATTTGACTTCAAAATTAGTAAGAATTGTCGACCACGCCCGGTCAAAACACGCCAGGGAATTTCTCGAAGCTTGGCACTCCTCAATCAACTCAATCAACAGGCACATTGAACTGGATCACCTGTACACGCCAATGCAACTCAAGGATCAAATGACGCAAAGGTCACGACATGACCTGAGAACGGACCGAAACCGCAATCAGGACGGATGGACAACCACCCACCCCCTACCAACCCCGCCTCCACGCCCCAGTTTAATGGCGAACCCAGTCGAACACAATGAGAACAAGGGACAGCAATGGTCGGTGGAGAAGAACACATATATAAACGGACGGACACAAGTAGAAGACTGCCATTTCACAAGCACTGATGATGTCACCTTGGCTGGTGATGAAACGTTTGCAAACAAATTGCCAAACTTGGCGAACAGGCGAAATGGAATGGCATTTTTACTACAGCGCGTTTATATCTGACTGACAAGAAACTACGTAACTGCAGAAACTGGTACTCTTGCGATATACAGTCCCACAAATCGTTTCCTGTTATTTCCTTATTATTGAAATATTTACAAATATAAGGCAATCGTCTTGTTCTTCTTTGAGTCAGAAACGTATATTATTTTACTGTTCACCTCTCCAAAAGGAGGACATATTTGTTGTAATTAGCACATCGTTGACGTATATCCTAAATACTTCAAGCTTATCTAAGGTATGTGCCATCTCATTTTCAAACTTGGGGACGAATACTGATGATGGGGCTTCCCATCCTCAGCCTACCTGTTTCTAGTTAAGGTTTGTCTTGAAAATTGAAAGTGCTCACTGGCGTTACACTTGCAAGATCGGTAGGCCAACTTTTGGGTTATGCTGCTCAACGTAGTGTAGAATATATTGGGCTGGTTCTTGCAGTGGTACTTCAGTGAACAGTAATTCAATGTCCATTGAAGTCAGAAATTTATATTCGACGTGCAAGTCATCTATAAGTTCAACTAGTTTGAAACTATCCTTGATGCCGTATTTAGACATGCGATCCTGATCTGGCTTCAAAGGCTGTGTCCACCATTTTACCGGTTACTCTGTAACGGTCTTAGTATTTTTAAAATTGCATTCATTCAACTGTCATAATTTTGCGTAACTGTTGTACTGTCAAGCGCTATAGTCTGCTGTTTTCTACCGTACTCTACATCTGCCTTGGCATAAACCATGCAACATAGCAACATAGCTCAACAGCACCCTTTCTTTGAACACCAATAAACACGTTAAGACTATACTTCAAAATGATTATGCATTGAATTTATAGCATAATTGTTAAATTTCAGTGAAGTCAGTGTAGCATTTGCTTTCAACTGGAACGGTTTCATCGTATTACATGAAAGCTTCTATAGCAGACGGAGAGACCATGTGACGGTGAGCGCGTTCCATTTTAGTTAGTACCGGGTACTTAAATCAGATCATTAGAATGGGTAAAACAAAATGAATCACTTACAGCCAAATTTACCACCGGGACACTGTTCATCCTCCATGGTATCAGTCGATCCAGAGGAAGATCCTGATCGGCCAAAAACACACGGAAACCAGTGATACCCAATCGTTGCTCAGCCATTTCACGGCACATTGCATCAGCTCCGTACCAGCCGAGGAACGAACCACCGCTTACGCCTATCGGGTGATAGGCCAAGAGCATCTATGGATCCATGAAGATTCAAAATGGGATATGGTTGTATGCATTTAGCACAACCAAAATTAGATGATGAATTCTTCGTGTAAATGAGGCGTGAGCTGAAAAGATAGAAAACACTGGACAGCTGTTTCTATCTGATTGGGTCTCATCAGCAGGGAGAATCCATCGACCCAAATGGGGATCGAACACGGGACAACAAACTGTTCACTTGAAACTAACGCCCAAGTATTACTGCCCATCAACCGCAAAATGTTAGAATAGGGTTCCGCGTGTGTCCGCCATTTTGTCAGACATCCCCTGGTTTTTGAAGCCGTATCCGATCGCTCATAGTACACAGTTATCCCGTTTTCATTTCCTCTGCCGCAATACTAGCTTCGGTTGCTAAAATATCACTTATTAGAAAGTAATTCTTCAAGTAGTGTAAATTTGTCACCCACGACACCGCGAAAGCCTACTAGCGCTTTGCAGCTGTTTCTTTCACTACTCCTGTTATCATCACTCCACCTGAGCATACGTTTGTGTTTCACACGGATATTGACTCCCTTTGTGAAAATATCGAATGACACTGGGCATACTATTTTTTTATCACATTATTGTGCATTTTCATAAATTTTGTCTCTATATTGCTACTTTGTGTCCTTTTAGTGACGGACCCCGTACTCTCTCAGTGATCACGAACTGCGAGTTTCAACACCAGGTGACCAGTCCACATAGGTTAAAGAAAAGTGTTAAGTCTTTTGGATACAAACAGTCAGAGTATCACCGTGCCCACACTCCAAGATTTTGTAATAAATATGATCTGTCCATCCGAGGTAAGCGTATCCAACTCCGGTAGCCTTATGAATCCATTCAATCTATGCAGACGAACCCTATTGCATATATCAAATTGGGTCCGAGAAGTCTAGAAGTGACGACTTTCTAACTTCTCTGACAGAACAATGGCTATATATTGGGTTCACAGACAATTCTGGACTCCATGGGGTTACAATAGCAATGAAAATTCGAGAACTCAGTGCTCTGAGCTCATGAAAACTAATTTCATCAAGAATCGCCTTGACTAGTTTTCAAGACACAACGTCTACTGTGACAGCCACTGCAGTCTGCACTCCAAACCTACGCGCACAGCCAAATATCCAAGATGACATCTAGGATGCACTTCGTAATTCAGTTACGGGGCTTGACATTCTACCGGCTTCAGAGAACTAGAACTCCCGCACGAACCCCGTAGACGAACCCCCACAACACATTGTGAACATTCAGGTTAGGCCGGTAGACTCTAGTCGGCTTACCGTCACAAATACTTGCCTTCAGGCTGACCGTGATTGCAATCAATAATAGATTGATGCGCGATGGATAACTGTGGTGATTCAGCCCTCCTAGCTGACGCCAGCCAAGCACCTAGGCGTTCCAGTTTCCGGACATTGGGCCGGAAGCCCATATTATCAATCAGTCAGCAGCCACACAGTGCAAATAGGTGTGACTCGAAGATCGGGAACAGCGATTGGTTGACATCCGTTTCATCAACNTTACACATTATTTATTCCCATTGGTTTCTCTCAATGAACGAACCACCACGTCTGTGACCTTGTTCCTTCGTCTCGGTGAAGCGAGATTCCAGCGTACAGGGGCTCTGTTGTGTGCTTCCGTTACGTCCGTGATTTGTGATCTGTAATCCGTATCTATTTCGATTACTACAATAACACCAAAATCATTTACCAGAGAAGCCTCCCCAAGAACACCTTAGCAAAATATTCCAAGAACCTCTTGTCCGTTGCGCAAAACCCACGGGTGCTAAACTTCACAACTTCACAACTTTACTCAACCTCCATTGACAGACCACACGCTCGAGAAAGAATTGGCGTAACTTTGCAGTGAGGATAGAAACTAACACCCTTCTGGTAGAAAATTTAAGAAGCTTTTCCGAATCATGTAATCGGTTTCAGTAACAATGCAATAGACGGTACTTTATGATACGGAATTTGAGGCGAAGGCCGTCTCTCTGAGTAATTAAACCTCAAAAATCGATTTCTTTACAACTCTTCCGTTTTCGTCATGCTCCATCCACGCCACCAACGAAATATTAGAAGACGTAGGAAACTCCCAGCCAAACGGCTAAGCCAGAGGCGAAGACAAGCTTTGCGTCGACTATGGAAAGAGAGTGTTCCTGCATCTTCATCAAACCCTCGAAATAAGCCGCGAAGCAGATCTACTCATTTATAGCGCCATTATTCGGTTCATCCTTGCAAGCGCTGGAAAAACGTGGCCACTGAGGGAGAATGGCAAAAAAGAGTGGAATAACTCTACCACCAGTCGTGCTGCAGATATGTGCCAAAATTACCTATTATGATCCTACCTCAAACTCCGCGGTTCGTCAAAAGAGTGAAGATGTACAAATGTTATTCTTATTCCATTCTTTCGGTCATGTGATCCGCACGATCGAAACAAAGCTCATATGGAAAAGTTAGGAATTAAGTGAATCACTCATTGTTATTGTCAACTAAACCTTTGCGGAAAGGATACGCTTTCACAGATTGGTGTTAAATGAATGTAAATGAGCTTACTTTTTGTTTGGATGCATCTTAAAGTGTAAGCAAAGTTCATTTGAACTAACTTCACTTGTACGAATGAGTTTGTCAACTTACGCGGTAGTTATTCGGGGATTTTGAATATGGGTCAAACGATCGATCATGCGATGTTCTGCTGATGATCTGTTCGGAATGGAAAAGCGAAAAAATGATGACTTTGGGGGGAACAAGTAGTTGGGAAAGTTCCATAAACGAATACATTATGGTGTACCCCTATTTTTGACCAGTACGCGGGACTTAACTAAGGACAGTACCACGGATGCATCTAATGTTGGCTGACAGATGACTAAAGTACTTGAAACTTGATATTCTCTTGCTTGTGTGTATGCAGATTAGTTTAATTTCCTGACAAAAACAGGCTTCTGATAGATTACATTTCGCATTTTAGATTAACTATACACCTGATATCCGTGATGTCATATTAGTGGTCTGTATTACATTTGTAAAACCCGAATTGTGGCCCACAAGTCAGCAAGTTTCATTTTCAAATCGTTTTCCCAGAATTGTTTTCTTATCCCACCTGAAGTCAATGAAATAGAACAAGTATCCCCTTTTAGACGCCAGTACCCTTTTACGTCAACAAAAATGGTGGTTCTCATCTGTGCTATTTTGTGTACACCGATTGACCGTCAAACCCCGCACAAACTGAGAATCAATTACCGGTGCAAAACGAAACAGGAATTCGCAAATCATCATGGTTTCGACTCCTCACACCGGCATTTGCACACAACTTTCTAAAGTAGAACCACTTCAGTGTTACTGCCTTAGGACACCAAACTGATGCAATTCATACTGATTTTATCCAAGCAAAATATGTGGAAAACTGAATTTGTCCAGCTGTCTTATTTTCAATGATTGAGTGTATCCTTTCACACATAACTTAAGGTTGACTGAAGGAGAGACACAAAAAGTAATACACCTTTTTCCAGAAACCCTCCTCGGGGATGGGGGAATTTGAATGCAGAAATGAACTAATTGCCTACAATTTTGTGCGAATGCATCAGCTAAATCCTATTATTTTCGTTCTAATAAAGTCGAAATGAATGATAGAACTTAGTCCGTAAAGAATCCGGAATATTGCGTCTAAAGTTGCGCAAGACAAGTAGTATTCCGGAAAGACTGGTTGAAAACTGAAAAATCTGGATCCGGCGAGTTCAATCAAAAGTGGGTATCTTCCGTCTGATACCTTCACTTCTCAGTCAGTCTTGTGATTATACATGAAAGACAGATCAGCCAAAGACAGTTTTGTGCGCCGTTGGCTACTGTGACGAGTATTCCAGCGCAAGCAGTGAACTCTTCGAGCAGCAAGGACTGTGGTCGTTCTATAGTGAGTCGGATCACATAAGCCACTTGTGTTGGGGTTTCTCGTCCTCCCTCGCTGCGAGCATGCACACACAAAGAAATGAATGCCGAAAAGGGATCGATTGTCCCAACGGGGCAACTGGTGACATAAATGAAAACTCCCCACTGTATAGCCACACAACGGTTGTACAAAAATTCTGTAACCTAACACATCATCGCGATTGTGATGGTACAATCCCTCTTCATGAGGAAACCACTCAGTCACAAAAACACACGCGCACATACAGGTAAGAACTGCACGCACATTGTGTCAACTCGATTTTACCATTTCATTTACAAATGCAAGCCCAGTTCTCATTTGGTTAATTGCCATGTGAATTTTCATTCATTGTTTGATATTATTCATTTATTCGAATAAAAATTATCAAGACCGTTCTTTCATCTTCTTCAAGGAAACTAGGACATGTATGTTGGTCGGCAGACTGCTTACGAGCACGCAGCGCTTAGCACTAAGCCGACAGCAAGAGCACATCTCACGTGGCCTGTGGCGGTCCGTCTAAAGACTGACTGAACCAACTATGTTACCGATAAACGAACAATGGACAGATGCACCCAGCCATCATTACAATACCCATTCAATCCCAATCGGAGCGCTTTTCCTCAATGGTTAATTTGGTATCTCGTGTACGTCGACTGCGTTGCCAGACAAATTAATTCCAACGTGCAAAGAAAATGGGTAACCGTGAATCACGGCCACAAAACCGATCTGACAATCTCAGTTCATGGAATTTAATCAGAAATTAATAGCAGATAACTTACCGGGGGATTTCCGTAGGATATTTCTTTGTCAAAAGTCTGAACAGTAAGGGAAAGAGAAAAACCAATAGAAATTTTTCTTCAGAAATGGAATTTGATTCGAGGAAGGAGTGCTGCTCTCATTCTTATTACATCTGCTTATTACACATTAAGAACTCCTTGGATCTTCAACCCATCGTGGGTGAACCAAACCAGTGTTGTGAGGTACTATTCACTTCTGTGAACAGTAGGTAACATAGTTGGTGATTTATTTCGGCGATCAAAAATTAACAAGATCATCGAGGGCAAATTGCTGAATCTCAAAGAATAACTATCGATTGCTACATGCATTACCCGGTGTGCGGTCAAGAACTGCAACGGTATGTTTCTGATGAGATTTCTGTGTTATGTATGCCAAATTAGTGATGTTCCATCTGTAACCCTCAGTAAAGGACTATCCTCGACCGAGCACCGCCTTGTGGAATCATAACACCAGTACCATATCAAATGTATTTTCCGTATATAAGAAAGCGGATGCAGTGCTGAATCCCTGATTGAACATCGTGTTGAATGCGCTGATATTGGGGCTTCATAGGACTTTGCTACACAGACACAAATACAGCACGACCTTTATGTTTGCCTACTTGTCTAGCTCGGCGGCTTATTATTTCCAGGAGTTTCAATATCATTCTATGGGAAATCTGGCACATTGTACAGGAGTAAAGATGTCCAGATTTATCAGCTGCCCTTATACGAACTCGAAAAGTGTTTTACCGCAAGCATCTAACGTGTCATACCACATTCAGTCAGGTAAATAATTACGCTGAACATGGTCTTTTACAGTCAGTTACACGTTGATTGTACAGATCGGAGTATGCGTTTACGTACTACAGGCACTCGATTCCATCGGTTATCTTCCAGACCCGTCTTGACAAACATTCCCATCGGGGTCGGATCACCGGGTACGGTCGAATCGAGATAGCTGACCACAATCGCGCCCAGAGGCAACTTTTCGCCCAAAGTCATCAATTCTGCTGCCGAGTTCATAATAATTACCTGAAAACAGAGCACAACATAATTTCCGCAAAAAGTGAGTAAAACCTGACCATGGCGAGCAAACTGTGTGAATGTTTTCATTACCCAAAACAAGAGTTATGAAAACCGTGCAAATAATGACACGAAAAATCACTGTCGGGTTCAATTTGTTGATATGATCTGTTGTAACCGTAGTATTAGAACTTCCGGCTCAAAACGGTCAACGGGTTAAGGTATCGAATATGAAATTCATCCAACGGGATAAGGTAGTACTTAAAGAGCAGATATGATTTATACATACGAAGCTGGTATTGGTAACTAGACTATCACTACAAACCAAACGGGATTTTCTGAATCAGTGATACTTCACTTCAGTTCCGTTTATACAGTCGTTGAACATGTCATTTCGAGCGTAATTTTTGGTTTCTACCTCATGGCTTTTCATTTGACTGAAGGAGTAGAGGGAAGATTGGAATGAACAAATCAGTATCAGGGTAAGACTGGAAATTTCATACAGGCTGTTACCCGGGTATTGAGTAGATGCATGATCGCAACTGTTCACGGCATTCAGCCATATAACCTAGTGTATTTGACCATCGATTACTCTAATCCCAGTGTTCTCACCCAGGAAACCGAAGGCGACCTATATCAGCGAGTCTTGCGATCAGGGTATTCACANGACCATCCTTGATACATTTTTCATCGACTACTTACCTCAGCGAATCACGTACATCGTGGAGATCTATTTGGTGGTATGCGTATCACGTGCCTCAATCAACGTGGTCCATGGAGGTCAAACACTTTCTCGAGTGAGCGACGGCGATTAGCTAAAACTCTGCGCCTAACCTCAGCATTGACCGTCCGATTTCCCCACCAAACTCGTGCCATGCGGCTCATACAGCGGTGTTCGAACACTAACAAGTTATCTTTATCTTATTTTCTTAATGGCTAAATGTCTGCACCGTATGGCAAAACTAACCGAACTGCTGATTATGTTGTGGAACCGGTTGCCACTGGCATTGATAAGCTGCAATGCTGTAAATGCTTTTAAAAAAAGCGCTGGACGAGTGTTGGATAGAGGTTTTCCCCGAGGTAAAGGCTTAGTTACTGTTGTGCCGTTTACCGCATTTGTTCGATAACATTTGTATTCATTGCCCCCTTGAACGCGCAACATCAATACTCGATACA